CCACAGAACTAGCCAACTCGGTTTGAACAACTTGTTTGAAAATCCGACAACGGCTGTTGCTGCAGAAGTGCACCAGGTGCTGAGACAAACCACCAAGTGCCTCCATTGCAACGTAAGAGGACTAAAGGTTAAGCTGTTACAAATCAGAAATACGTGCTCTCAGATGGATCTGAAGATCACAATCGTAACTGAAACGTGGCTAGTAATCCCTGACATTGCAGACGACGAATTGAGCTTATCAGGCATGATACTCTTCCGAAGCGATAGGATACACCGAACTGTAGGTGGAGTGGCTATGTATCTAAACAGCCACTTAAAAGCAGAGATACTATACGACACCTAACTAACTGATGTAATAGAATCATACTGGTGTTGCTTCCACACGAATGGGACGAAATACTTGATTAGAGGGATTTACCGACCTCCTTCGGGTACTAAGGCCCAGAAAAGCAAACTGATTGAGGTAATACTGCAACTGCCACTCCTGGGATTTGATCAAATACTCTTAGCTGGAGATTTCATTACCCCATCTTCAAATCTCAGCAATCAGAGTATTACTCTCACTGGTTGGTTCCAAAGACAACTTGGTACAGCCATTAGAAGCTCTGGGTTGACTGAGCCCATATGCAGTGCCACCAGATGGACTAAAGAGGGAAAGTCCTCAAGCCTGGATTATCTGTTAACAAATGACCATCTCCTGTTTGAGGATGTTCACGTCCGTGCACCGATAGGGAGTAGTGACCACGGCGCAGTCTTGTTTAACATGGTCATAAACGATACACTCACACAGGATGATAACGAGCCCTGTCTTCGCTACATCAGGGCAAATTATACGCGTATGAGAGAGGTCCTTCTACATGCTCCATGACGACGGGAGTGGTGTAGGCTGACAGTAGATGACCACCGGCAAACAGTGAGAGATATCATCCGAAACAATGTATCTCAGTCACACCATACACTCTGGAATAGAAGAACCTGGGTTAGGCGCGGCACTGAACGATTGCTGCAGGCGAAGTGGAGAGACTGGCACAAGTGGAAGGTCTCCTTGAAGGATTCCAAACGCAGTTCTCACTTGGCATTGAGAAACAGATGCAGTACCACAGTTTGAAGTTATAGGAGACAATTTTAGATGAAACTAGGTGCCAAAATACAGGCCAACCTGTAGCATCTGCTTAGATTAATGTCCAAAAGGAAAGCTGCTAATCAAGCGTTGTGTTCTCTCAAAAGTCCGAACGGGAAAACCTTACCAACCTAGAGATGGCTGAGATCTTCAGCACCAACTTTACTGAGCAGTTAAACCAGGCATCCACATGTTCAGAGTACTGCGCGAACCCAGTGCCAGCTGACGGCTTACGGAATATCCGTATTACTCCTGACCTAGTATATAGAAAACTAAAATCCTTACGCCCAGGAACGTAACCAGGCTATGACAATATACACCCAATAGTCTTCAAACAATAAGCAGAAGCGCTCTGTTCGCTGCTACGTGACTTGTTCAGGCATTCACTGGTTTCACACAAACTACCGGCTGAATGGAAAGAAGCTACTCTCTCTCCAATTTTCAAAGGAGGAAAGGGACATGACCCAGCCTGTTGCAGACCAGTCGCATTGCCACCAATACTATCAAAGGTAATGGAAGGGCTGGTGGACGAACAAATGAAGGAGTACATAAATAAGAATTAAATACTCCATGAAGCTGAACACGGTATTTGGAAAGGCAGGTCGTGCATCTAATCTACTCATAATAATAATAATAATAATAATAATAATAATCTATTCTCAAATAACTAAGTTACAAGAGTCACGCCAGTTTACAGGCTAGATCAAATTGTCACAAATGCTTTTACAATTACTGTAAAAGTTATAGCAGTTAAATTAAGTATAAGAGACAGTTTCTGATTGCATATTTACACCATATCACTGACAGAAACAGTATTATACAGCCACATTTTCAATACTAGAGTACAAATGAGGAAGGTGCACAATAGGTTCTATTGGCGATTGGCCGAGATCAATAGTGAATTTGTTGGGAAAGGTCATATGGAACGCGCTTGATACGAGCTGTGATCCAGACAGTCATGTACATTGGGTGCATGTTCCCTAGAGTTGCCAAGGATTTCCCACCGTGAATGGGGTTCTGAAAAGGAGAAAAGAGAGAAAAAGGCAGCAGTGTGGCAAGTGTATATATATAACCAAAGCACTACTTAACCTGTCATGTTAAAGTAGTCAATACAGTAGTAAGTCAAGATAACATTCATACTGACCACTTAAATTAAAGTAAATTATGGGAATATAAGAATATAACGCACAGATAAAGGAGTACAGCAAAAAGAAAGGAGAGTTGTGCAGTGTCAGGTGTATATAAGGGAAGTCGAAGTAAGAAGCTGGATTTATGTACGTTGAAATCGAAATTCTAGTTAAAAGAGTAGAGTTTGTAAAAATAAATATTTGACGAATAAAATCTCGCACTGTCTAACTGTTTTTTTTCTTTATTATTGAATGCCAACCTCTAAGTCATACTGTAAGCGCCTGAGTAAGAATGTTGCAGGTGTCTCGACAGAATAGCGACCTCAGCATAGTTTTGGAAACATGAACCACAGAAGTAGCAAGCGTATAAGAGCAACCTCAGTGTTACTGATTAGTCGTCTCATCAATCTAAAGAGCCGAAAGCAAACAAAATGTTCTGCCCCACAAACATGGGTTGTTTGAAGTTATCGCCCATACCATCAAGGTTTGCTGCTCAGTAACTCCACCCTCCCTTCTTTTGTGTTGTTAGGCTCATGTTAAATGTTTAAAAGAAGCTATTGAGTTCTACTTGGTGTTCTATGTCTCGCATCCTGTTGAGAAACACTATTTCTGCAAGTTCCTTTCACAAACTCGTCTGGCTATTACAACTTATGAACTATTGGTTAGGCATCAATGCTATACAGTTAACAGTTATGGAGAAATAGTAAGAATTTTCAAACAAGATATAAGCATTTTGAATGTAGTGGGGAAGATGTACTTAACTGGCTAAGCAGGAGATATAAAGAGTATCGCGGTTAAAAGCGGAGCAATAGATAACACTAAGGGGCCAAGGTAAGTCAATAGCGTGTAAGTGAGAACAGTATAATTGATAATAGGCAATGTGAAACTCACACAGTTGTAAGTGTTGATAAGGTTGCGCCCAGGAGAGTAGAGTGCATTCTAATCAACCAGTTTACAGTTGAACAGTGTCGAACGACCCAGTTAGTAGAGTAACCTGTCTATTTCAAATAAAAACTAAAGAGATTTATATTCAACTAGAAAAATTAGTGCTACTTGGGAGTGTAAAAATAACTAAATAAGACGCAGCACTGAGTTCATTGTGTTTAAAGTGTATGCAGAGCTATTAATATGAAAGCAGGGTGTGAGTGAGTTCACGAGCGCAGAAGAGTCAGTGCAACTGAGAGCATCATTAAGAAGTTGAACAAACTCATGTAACCCACTTGCCATGCGTATTTTTGAGGGAAGCCTATTCCATATAAGTGCATACTTAGAGAGGAAGAAGTTTTCTCGAGTTTTGGATCTATACTTCTCAAGTTTGACCGTAGATACTTTATCTCGAAGGTTATGTGTACAAGGGCCATGGATAAGGACTAAACTGCAGGAGGAATATGTGAGCTTGTGCAGGAGTTTAAAGTAAAGGATCAGATTGGACTTAAGCCTTCTTTTCCATAATGGATCGAGCCCGAGTTCAATACATCGGGTTGGATAGTCAATGGGTGAGCTATGATTCAGGACAGTTGGACATCATGCTTGAACCCAAAAATACCGGTGCAAGTAATATTCCTCGACTTTGCAAAAGCCTTCGACACAGTACGCCACGCACGCCTAATCGCAAAGATTACGGAAATGGGCTTCACTGCCCCACTACCTTGAGAATAGAAAGTTTCGCACCAAGGTAAATCGAGTGCACACAGCCAAGGCAAATGCAACTCTTCACGTTATGTGAAAATGACTTAGTGCTACCACCCCAGAATTGTTCTTAACACTATTTTAGGCGTATGCGCGCCCACACCTGGAGGTTCACAACGTCATCGCACCCCCTTTGCTTAAAAGAGACACAAATCTCTTGGATCTAGTTCACAGTCGAGCAACCAAATGGGTAATAGGGTTGAAAAATAAGCTTTACGATGATAGACTCCAGTACTTGGGATTATTTCCACTCAGTTACAGGAGGATCAGAGTTGATCTGATTATGGCATTCAACATATTAAGCACGCCAAACCATCCCCACGTGAGCATCTTACCAATGCATCACCACCACTCCCCTCGAGGCAATCCCAGAAAGAGTGCACATCAAAGAGTGGATGCTCAGGTTCGTGAACACTCTCTTTGATTGAGAGTCGTCGCAACTTGGAGTGCTCTCCCAGCCGAGGTGAACCCATACCGCTCAGTGGACTGCTTTAAGAAGAGACTTGATAATCACGTACTCACATATGGACTATCATCTCCCTCTTGGACAAACTGTTCATGATGCATATCTTGAGACCTGCTAGTTGTTATCGTTACCACCTCCCCAAATCAATCAATTAATCTATCTCGCCTATTATCTCTGTTTCCTGTCCCTTGCTTACATTTCTGTCCTCTCTCACAATCTTCACTACCAAATGATGAACTAAATCATCTATATATTACTTAATCCTGAAATTTTATTCACATTGGCATTAGAATTTTATCATTATTATTCTCCACATTGCGACTAAATTATCTTCGGCCTGGTAATATGATAGCTGCTAGAATTCAGAAACCCTACTGCCCTGGAACAAACGTTTTCATTCAAATCCCGAGACATACAAACTCACAACCAACTGACAACTGACTAGAGTTAGACAGTTGAGTGGCTAGACCCCATTGACTGTACACTACCAAATACCCGCGACCGTACCGAAGGGACAAGAATCGAGTGCAAAGAAATCAACTAGTTTCTACTAGCTCGTGAAAAAGATATTGGATATTGAATAGTTTGACCTTTAGGACTCGAACGACAAACAATACCTCAAGGTTAGCTGGTTGGTGCAACAATCATTAAATATCTCATTCTATTTGTTATCGTGAAATGAAGAGTATTGCGGCTAAGACTATCAGTCATTCAGTGGGCGGTTGCGTCATATGATCAGAGATAGTTTTTAAATTCGTGATCACTTAGCTTCAAAGGTAGTAGTGTCCATGCCTGTTGTAGGCAAACAAAATGTCATTTATGAAAGATAACTCAATGGAATAACTCCTTTCTCTCAATACATCCGTATTCTCTCCGATTTTCCATGTCATCCTTTGGTCGGTGCCACGAATGCAAGCGAGTGCTGTACTGGCGGATAAAAAACGTCCGTAGGCTAATCATATAACACTGCGAGGGGATGCGTTTCCACACTATTTGAATCCAAATTGTTGTAAAGGAATCGTTCTTGGCCACTTCCCCATAGAAGTGTATTTCACCAAATTAAGAGGTCACATTGACCGAAGATGCGAAGTACAGTAAATATCCTTATTGACAAGCAAGTGAAAATGATTCAGAACTCCGTGTATATTGTCATTTCCTGGTAGTGACGTTTTATATGGAAGTAACCTACATTTTTCTAGTGTAACAGCCGTACCACTGTATGCTGTCTAAGATGATATCCGTTCCGTTTGAGTTTCCTTAATGGACTAAGATCGTTCGTTAATTTTTTCTACATCTTTGGAGCCATTTTAACAAAATTGTCGATAGATTATTTTCAGTCGTAACCAGTTCTTTATAAATATTCATATCTGATGGATGTACTACGAAAAATATTGATGTCTTTAAATGTTTTGATATATGTCAATCTCATAAATTCCCATCCATTTATTTTTCTAGACATTTACCTACCATTGATCACATTGCACATGTAACCAATGGTTAGCTATGGATTTTTTCCAACTCGATAAAGTCCGGTCTTTGATTGAAGTGGACCACTGTTACACATCTTCAAGTAAAAGGGATTGTGATAGTGATGAAGGGATATTCAACTTGTCACCTTATCACTCACCGTAACTTATTGGTGTTATCTTTCTCATTCTTAATAGTCTTGAAATAGAAGAAAGTTGCTTAGACGTTGGGGGATCTACTACTGGGTGTTCTTTTGAAGAAAAAGTTCACGAAAATGTGCCACCTGTCGACTGTTCGTCTGTTCTTGAGTTGTGTCAAAGGTTTCCCTCAAAACAGCCCAAAGGTTACTTTAATTAATATTTCTCATTGTGCGAAACGTTATAGGTGATAACCATACATGGATTTTGTGTGAAAGAAACCATTTGATTGAGATTGTATCATCTTTGAGAAAAGTTTTGAGAAATGAATATTTTTACAGCTCTCAGGTTCGCTCTTATCAAATCATTGCCTTATTAATTTCAGTTTCACGATATTAAACGTCTGAATGTAAACAAGGAACTTAGTCTTCATCGTGCTGCTAATACTCTGAGAAGAATATTCGCTGATCTTTTTTGGGTATGATCATTTATTAAATCTAAAATGTTTATATATATATATATATATATATATATATATATATATATATATATATACCTTAAACCGATGTACTTTTGTCATAGTGTTGATAATTGGGCTATAACACGGCTAATGGCTATGTCGTACTTCTGACTATTGTGATTCCATGATAGTTAAGTTCCTGAATATGAGCTAAAGGCCACATATTTATCAACTTTCACCTAATTACGCTGTACGGCCTATCACCTACACCTAGTCATCTTTTTATACGCATATACAAAGGTATATTCACCAGATGGTTGTTGAAAGTCTCTTAATAATCAAATACAGATGATGAGACTAGTGCATGAAATCGTCGAAATTCATTATGAGTTGAATATATGAACTTCATACTGTTTGAGATATTAATCAATTGTCTCAAATAGTACTTGATATGATTTAAACTGAGTTGCATTGGTGTTGAATCATTCAGTTATCACTTGTATTTGCATTTTATTCAATGCTTATTTTTCACTAACTACTTGTTTCCATCTGATTATAATAAACATTTTTTATTTTATTGAAATTCTATGTGTCAGATTAGTATAAAATTATTGAATCAGTGCATTTTTGTGGGAGTCCCTTTATAGTTCTACATATTTTCGCGAAGATTTAGTTAGGAAATATTGCTAATGACATTTAACTTTTAGAATGTAGAATTTTCTCATCCTTTTTGTAAGGCTTATTCTGAATATTGCTTGCATATCATGGAACAGCAGAAAGAGTACTGTTTAAGCTAGGCACTAGTTACTATGCTGTTGTCAAATCAGCTAGTAAAACTGAATCTTCACTGACTGATATGATCAAGACATGCATTATATCTGTCCACTGTCTAACTTCACACAAGATGTTTGCTGGTGTAGGAGTGCGTCGAAAGGTTCTCTTAACACAGAACATAGCATCAGTCCATGAGGTGATTGGCTATTTATATTAGTTGTATCGGTAGCCTCAGTGTCTGGTTAGGGATCGCAGAGTAACCGCGACTAGTGCTTATTGATTTTGGACGGCATGTCTCACAATTAATCGCAATAGCACAGAAACATTCCTTCTGACATATTCTAAGTCTTGAGTCCTCGTATTCCTACATAGATGCATTTTCGATTTGTAATCTTAAATACTCGGCCTTTCTGATTATCATTTTATCATAAATATTTCTAGTCCTTCAGTATTCTTGCTAAATTTATCTCCGACTGATTTATCATAGCAACTTGGTTTAATGCACATTTGTGCTATGCTCTACGTTGATTACAACTGGGTGACGTTCTAAAAAACCTTTTAGAGAGTAGGTGAATAAAATATTAGCTTCTCATAGTCCTTTCAGCGTTTAACCAAAAAAATTAATTTATTAACTTTCATACATTTTGAGTTACTTTGAAAGCATGAATCGACCAATGTTAGACCAATATTAGAAACCTGGAAGCACTGTACGGCCGTTTCGTTATGTAGAAATCAGTCAATATAATTCAACTAAAGAATTACTGAGTAATGGATGTTAGGATACAGAAGGTCTATATATTTCATGATATATAAGCCAAGACCAAATCTCTCACGAAAATGGTGAGAGATTTGCAAACCTGTGCGCCTTTAGCAAACTGGTCATCGGCGGCACCATATTCCCACACAAACGCATACAGAAAGCTGCATGGATTTCACCGGATTACACCGTGCAGAACCGAATCGACCATATCTGTATCAATAAAAGGTTCAGAAGGACCATGGAGGACACGAGAACCAAGAGAGGAGCTTATATAGCCTCAGATCACCACTTGTTGGTTACCAAAATGAAACTGAAACTCAAGAAACACTGGACAACAGGACGGACAATATCACAAAAGTTTAATACAGCCTTTCTTCGGGATACTGGGAACCTCAGCGAATTTAAGATAGCCTCAGCAATAGGTTTCAGGCATCTCACGATCTACTAAATGGAGAGTAAATTACCGGGGAGAACAATTAGAAAAGGATCAAGGAGGAACTCACAAGGAATAGATTTCTGTTGGTACTCTTGAAAAAATTCAAGAAAAGAGGAGTAAGAAGGCTGCAATCAATGTCAGCCGAACAAGAGCAGAGAAAGTTAAGGCACAAGCTGAATACACAGAAGCAAACAGGCAAGTGAAGAAGAGCATCAGAGCCGACGAACGTAAATATGTGGAAAAGGCTACAAGAGAAGGAAACTTGAGACCATTGTATGACTGAACAAAGAAGCTCGCCGAAAACTTACGTAATCAGAACGAACAGTGAAAAGCAAGGAAGACAAAGTAATGACCGACATTGAACAATAGCAAAACAGATGGGTAGAGCATTTTAAGAAATCCTTGAATCGACCAGCTCCACTGAGCCCATCCAACACTGAAGCAGCATCCACGGACCTCCCAATCAATGTTGGTCTACCAACGGTTGAAGAGATCAGCACGGTTATCGGACAAATCAGGAGCGGCAAAGCAACAAGACCAGATAACATTCCAGCAAAGGCAATGAAAGCAACCGTAAAAACACTTCACACTCTCTTCAACACGATTTGGGATGAAGAACAAGTAGCAAAAGACTAGAAAAAAGGATACCTGATTAAAATACCTAAGAAAGGCGATTTCAGCAAGTGTGAGAACTGCAGAGGCATCACTCTTTTCTCAATACCAGCCAGTCTTCAACAGGGTGTTGACTACCCTAAGCAACAATGCAAGCATGTTAGGGATATGGTCCTCCCCGTCGAAATGCGAAATGTTGCTTCAAGATTGGGTTTCATCGGCACCTGAACAAGTGATTTGGTGACTTATCAGTGATGATAATCTGATATGTGAAAAAACCTCAGCACAGATACAGAGGAATTGACTTACTTTTGTCAATATGCGTCACTCATGGCATAGATAAGATATCCGTCTGTACCTGGACTAGTGATAAGTAGTGAAGTAGTTGGGTGTGTAGGAGTAGACTGGAAGAAAACTAGGGGCGGCCAAACCAAAACATGGCACAAATCCATGAAGTCACTGACTAGTGGACTGAGCCATGTTGGTAGGTGTAGACTACCTGGTTAGGGTCCACGAGACGATAGTAACTGATGGTTAGAGACCTTGAATGACATGGCTGAAAATCGTTTGCAATGGTGCAGGTGCATCCATTATTTGTGTTCTCTCAAATCCTAATCTTCTGAATTCTTCATCACTTTTTCTCTCTGTACCTCACTGGATTACACTTATCGAACCATATCTCTGATCTCTGATCTTCTCCATTACTGCTAATACTTCTGCTACCTCTCCCACTATGGTTTTTTATTTGATAATTCCATTTCTCTGTGCTAATGTTGTATTTCAACTTGGACTGATGTACGCATGTACGAAGTTTGACGTTGTGGCTGACTGACTGACATTTAGTTGGAGTGATATTTGAAGCGAGTAGAAACTTCTCTATTTATTTTCACCAATTGGTTTTCGTGTGATTTGTGATTCTGTCGTTGTGTTTAAACCCGATTGGGTGGTTTTCAGTCAGTCTAACTGCTAAAATTAGGCCACCATCCTTAAAGATCTCAGGGATCAATCTATCACGTCCTGCTGCTCTCCCTCGCTTCAGATTTCCTATAGCCTTGTCAACTTCATGACGATTCGGAGGGCTTACGTCGGCTTGCCATTCAGGATGACTGGAGATCGTGGGTAACGGAAGTGTAGCTGAAGGCCAGTTCAACTGATCCCTGAAGTGTTCTGCCCTTCGACCCTGATGGTGATGTGATCTAGTTAGTTCCAACGTTGAGACAACTTTGGGGGTCGCCAGGTCAAGGGATGTTTTTCCTTATGCCTAAAGTTAGTGTTTGCTAGAAATAGGCGGTTGTCTGAGCACAGTTGCAACAGACGGTTGTCATTGTCTGTTTTCTGAGCCGCGACACCATAAGATGCACCCAGGTGTCTTTCATTTTCACTTAGTCTATCTACTTGAGCATCAAAGTCACCAGCCATTAATACCACATCAGAGCGCCTAGCTTTTTTTAGGAGGTTTGAAAGCTTTCTGTAAAACTCATCTTTTATGTCTTTTGAACTTCAGTCAGTGGGAGCGTAGACAGACACGAAGAAGGGGCAACGGTGTGTCCCTATCTTTTTGTGATCTTACTGTTCCGTTGAGTTGGACAGCGCACAAACGACTGTGTACTGAGATCCAGTCTAAGAGAGCTAGTTTTGCTTAAAAACTCAGTGCTATTCCTACGCCAGCGAGACTCCGGGAAGCAGCAGTGGAGCTTGCAGATACACAAAGAGTAAATCGAGTTGGATCTTTATTTTGACAAGGTGAAGTCAAATTAGTGATTCCGCCCGGATCTTGTATGCGCGTTTCGGAGACGCAGCATACATCGATAGTGCGAGATTCTAAAGTCCTAGCTAAGAAAGCCTATCGCCCTATTTGACACGATGTCCGGTCAGTGAATGCTCCAACATGTAATTTAGAACGTTTCAGAAGACCAGGAATGACGTTTCGTGAACTCGCATCTTTTGCATTAGCTGTGCAATGTGATAAAGGAATGTGAGAAGAGTTAGTCGTGGAGAGAAGAGAGGTATCAGGGAGTGTAGGAAGGATTTGAATATGACAGAAACCCGTGAGGTAGGCTGTGATGTGACATTTTTAGGGTCAACCTTTTCTAACCCTTCCTTCCTTGTGAGAAGGAAGCATCGCTGCAGATGCTGGTTTTCCGAGGGAAACACCTTACTGTTGTCACACCCCTTCTACAGTCAGCAGTACGACTTCGCCCTCAGACCTTGGGTAGCTGCTTTTAGTCTCATCGTTCTGCAATCGACCTGCTTGGCATGGCAGAACCTTCAGGAACATATGTTCCAGCCAGTATAGCTCGGTTGGGCCATCACGATAGACAAGCCCGACCATCACGTCAAGGTACCTGCTACGGTTGGGGGTTGCAGTCTCATGTTAGGCGGTAACTAGGAATAAGTTCATACTTTGTTCGTTCCATCAAGATATTGGAGCCTCCAGCGCCATTTCTCGTATCATGGATTTTCAAACTCGTAGGTGGTTCTTCCATTTCCACCAACCCTGTTAGAATGCTGAACTATCGCCTTTCATCCTCTCGATTCCGTAAACAACACATGAGAAGGCAGTGTGTCCTACTTCCCTATCGGGGGCTATACACCCATGGCCAAATGAGAACATTGCCAGAGGGATCCGTCTTTCCCCACCTCCGGTCATACCAAGGCATTCGCAAGCTTGTAGGTATAAAAAGTATGTTCATAAAGTACAATCGTTTAACACTTAAAAAGTCATGTAATTTTTAGTAGTATTCGCAATTTAGAATTAGAATAACTTTTTTCCAGGTGAATTATTTTAATAGAACAGTCGATCGTTAGTCTCGGTCTTACTTTTATTGTGATGGCTTTTCTATAAACTTCAGCCAGTAGGATGTTTTTACTTTGCATTCCTGATAGCGTTGGACATTGCCATGATGTTCATTCCGGTGTGTGAAACTCTATATCGCCTTCGAATCACTTGGGTTATTTAGTACTGGTGGTGTTCATGCTACAAAAGCAAATTAAGGACAAAAACTCATAGACTTTCTTGTTCTTGAACATATTTAAGCTGTACTAAATACATCCATACCTGTACATCACATTGTTATTACGCAAACATCTTGAATGGGTGCCTGTTGCAGTTTACTCTAACTGAGTTTATTAATCATAATCATTTTGATCCTTGTTTAATCTATGTAAAACTGACTTTAACCAGTCAGCAACTCATTCGATCGTAGTTTTTCGTGAGTGTGATTGAATAAATAAATATTCTTCATGTAGGAAAAGCCACCAGTCTTATATATGCATTTCTGTTGTATTTAAAGCCGCATTCATATGGCTTGTAAGTAGTGATGTCCATAGATAATCGGTAGAATGTTTGACTTTTTCTCAACGAATGCTATTCTTTGTTTTAAGAGGAATATTGTGTTCTATTAATTTCATTAGCATATAGAAAAGTGCTCCAACATTCATCTATGGTGTGTGAAAAATCTTTCAGAAGCTCTGTTACCAATTTATCGCTCAGTTTTTTGCATATTATGGAGAAAAAACAAGGTAAGAAGTTATTAAGATCATTGTTTGATATCCCAGCACTTAAAATGTAATTTGAATTGAAGTTTTTCATTATCTTGGAAAAGGTGATACACTTTCCGAAAAAGTATAAAATTCCATGTAATCAAAAATACTTCAAAGTCGAATTTCCTATTGGAAATTGAAAATTATGACCATATGCTTAACGAAAAAAATATATGATACATGCAACGATAAAACAGATAATAATCAGATTTCGAATGGTATATATTTATACGTCCCGATAAACCACTGTAGAATAATGTGTACAATCCTAGGTTTAAAGAAACATAACTAGTAGGTTAACTATTAATCCTGCCTAAGTGTTCAACTGCACAATGATTTATCAAGAAGACTGCTCTATTGTTACAGAATATTTGTAAATTGATTTTTAACCTTAACTCCTGAGGTATCTGTGATAATCGATGCTTGTGTATTTACGGAAAGTAAGATTCTTGCGATAATTACATGGTGAATTATCATAATATACGGTTGCCTAAACGATAACTGTTAGCTCTGTTTAAGGTCAATAATGATTATTTATGGCCTAGCAGAAACTAAGAACACAAACGTATAAAAGTTGTGTTTATACTAAAATCTAGGGAATATTTGAATACTGAAGGCTAGTGTAATAAGCGTTGATAAAATGTAGTTACAATAATCAATAAAACGAATTTTACTTGAGTATATGAATGATGAAAAGTGTTACACGACAACAAGTACACGTCACATCAAATGATTATTACGCCTGCTACTCCTCATGAGGTATGGGTCGCCGACCATGTATCTCTAACCAATGTTATCCTGAGGCCTTCCAGGTTTAGGAAAGGGCTATTTATTCTTTTGATGCTTATTTCCTATTCCAGACTCAGTGTGTTCTTTGGTCTGCTCCTTCTTTTGCCTTGGGGATTCCAAGATAAGGCGTGTTTTATGACGCATTCTGATGATTTCCGCAGTGTTACAGCAACTGACATACGTAAGATTTAACGACTAGTTGAAATAATTCGATAACAGTACCGACTGTTTCATATTTGATTGTGTTGCATGCTTACTCGCTCATCACATGTCTAGCCCATTATCGTCTGACCATAAATATTTAGTTATGCTTCATCGTTTAGAGTTGGCTTGTTCCCCTTCTCCACTTCACTTCACTTTGCTTTCACGCTTCGTATTGTCATGTCTGTCTGCTTAAATGAGTGCAGAAGAAATAAATTCCTCGACGAAGCCGTATTTGGCTTTATAATTCAATACTATCAATTTACGGATATCCTGTGTTTTCAAAGACCGCCTTCCACAGTCTTAAAGTGTAACAAGACAAATTACTGCGTAGTGTACTCATGTTTTGGTTAGCAGATAAATAGCAGAAAAATTTGTTAAGAATTTTTATTTCATTATTATTAGGTTAATCCGTTATTGAAAGTGCTCAATACAACTCTACAAGAACGCTATGTAAACGATGCAACAGTTAACCAATTTTTATCTGACTTCAGATCATCTATCAATGATGAATGCGACAACGGCATAAAGCAAACACTGGTAAGTTTTACAGTTGATTCCAAATTTTTGTTTCTGTTGTAAAATATCAGCTTTCCAATATCCTTCATCAACTGAGGTGTTACTCATGCCCAGATATTATGCAGATTATTGAAGTAGGTGTTATGTATAATTTATGCCTTGGTTTTTTCTTAAAGTATAGATAATTAATACACTTGTAGATTACGACCCAAATAACAAAAGAAGCAAAATTACGAGCAATCAATCCGAAAAACCGAAAAATCATCAAGGCAAAAATTATCAGCAAACAAATTCAAAATCTAAGTAAAAAAGTGAATCTAAAAGCCAGCAAAAACAATGAAGTTCACCGAAACAGTTGACAGTTAAATATTTCGAATTCCTCATGTAGCAGTGGTTGGAAGAAGCCAGTAGGTGAGAAAGCAAGATGTGTTAACAATCCAAGACATTAACTATTGGTCTGAAACTTATTGTTAGGCACCGACTACATGGCTAGGATCTGTGAAATGATCCTAGTCAAAATTGTTAGAAATTCAAGTTAACAGGGCTAAACGTCTATTGTAATGGTGTAACCAAAGAAGTACATTAATGTTATAAAAGCTCTTTATTGGAACACTACTGGTCGAGTTAGAGTTATGGCGAACTGTCATCGGTATTGTTTACCTCGAGTACCGTTCGTCAGGGCTGTCCACTCTCCATTCTTGTTTAATTTTGTCATAGACCTGCTTCTAGATTTGACATTATCCTCGTCTGATTTTTCACGAGTGGATCTTCTAACTGGAGAATCACATGTTGAGTTAGGATAATCCGATGACATAGTTCTACTTGGTGAAGACGCTGATAAAATGCAGAGTCTTCTGACTACCCTAAGCAACAATGCAAGCATGTTAGGGATATGGTCCTCCCCGTCGAAATGCGAAATGTTGCTTCAAGATTGGGTTTCATCGGCACCTAAACAGGCGATGGGGAGTGAAGTATTTGAGCGTGTTGACCACTTCATTTATCTAAGGAGTCTCATCAGTGCTGATGGCCTGGTGTGCGACGAAATCTCCGCACGGATACAGAAGGCGTGATTGGCTTTTGCCAACCTACGTCACTTATGATGTAGGTGAGGCGCGGGTGCATCCACTCTGTGTTCTCTCAGATTCTAATCTTCTGAGTTCCTCATCACCTTTATATCTTTCTTTTTAATTTATTTCACTAGATTCTACTTCTTGAATAATATCTTCGAACTCTAATCTCTCCGATTACTGCTGATACCTTTACCACCACTACAGTTGCGTCTCTGCTAATGCGGTGTGGTAACTTGAACTGATGCACGTACATACGAAGTTCTGCATTGTAACTGACAGAATTTAATGGTGTAAATGCTTTCTCTCTTTATCTTTCCATATGCACTCAGTTTTATTATTATTCCATACTTTATATTTACCAAAAGGTCCAATCTTCTTCACGATCAATTTTGACAAAGTCTTTACCTGCTCAAATGTTTTTCAATCGTTCAATAACAAGCGACGGGATAATTTTGGCATGTATGACTTTTCCAGCATCTCATGATAGTAAACGACTACAAAAATTAATTAATTTACTCAGTGAAATTGGACAAATTAATTTAGAAGATCATGAAGAACAAATGTGTGATAGTATGAGACTTCGGTTACGATTGTTTGTTCGACGTGTCACTAATTTGGTAAGTGAATATGTACGCATTTTTTATTAGTTTATATATTTTAGAGGGATATTTTTCTGATAATCTGCTAATTTACAGTTTTATCCTATGACAATTGAATAAAACATTAAGGTGACGATAATGTTGAGGGTTTATCAACCACTCAGTAACAGGGCTTAGTTATTAAGCTCTTTATAGCAAGAGGTAATAATATTACAGTAGATAAACAGTGTTACCATGATAAATAAGGGCTAGACTTACGGATTAGGGATCCAGATAGATTTTTCAGTCAAAGTTAAAAGTGTTGAGGATTGGGAGTTAGTAGGATCAAAAGTTACCACTAGACTGCGTAGAAAATAATACTTTCTGATCACAGAAAAACTCTTGGTTATTCCCTAAAACGCATTATGCACACTCACGTTTAATCTGCATCATAAGATTTTTTTAAATTTAGCTTACTCACCATGAGATATTCATTATGTGGTTGCACAAACGTTATTTTTTTAGTGGTTGTAAGCATTTCAGAAATTGTGGACCAGTTTCACGTATTTTTTATTAAAATACATGCTATCATGTAAGGATAACAGACAGATACAACGCGGAATTTCGTACGTACGTACATCAGTTCAGGTTGCCATGCCCCATCAGCACAGATACGCAACTGTCAGTCCAAATCGCAGACTGATAGCAATAATACAAGTATTAAAAGTAATGGAAAACATTAGGGAGCGAAGATATGATATGATTCGAGGAGTATAATTCAGTAAGATAAATTTAGAAGGAGAAAGGTAAAGATTATGAGGAATGCAGAAGCTTAGAGTTTCATAGAACACAACGAGTGGATGCACCTGCGCCATTGCAAACGATTCTGAGCCATGTCATTCAAGGTCTTTAACCATCGGTGACTATCGTCTCGGGAACCCCAACCAGGTAGCCTACATCTACCAACATGACTCAGTCCACTTGTCAGTGACTTCATGCATTTGTGCCATGTTTTGGTTTGACCGCCCCTAGCTTTCTTCGAACTTACTCCTACACCATAAAACATAGCTCGTCGCGGCAGTCGATGGTTAGGCATATGTAACACATGTCCCAACCGCCTCAACTGATGAAGTTTCATTACTTCATCTATTGATCTGCCATCCTTAACTAGTACTCGTTTCCTACTCTTAACGGCCAAGTCTCGCATCCGTACAGCAAAACGGAGCGAACTGCTGCACAGTACACTCGTCCTTTGATTAGCAAACGGATATCTCACCTGCGCCATAAGTGACACAGGTTGGCAAAAGCCAATCGAGCCTTCTGTATCCGAGCTGAGATTTCGTCAGTTACCAGACCATCAGCGCTGATAAAACTCCCGTGATAGGTTAAGCGGTCTACTCGTTCGACTACTTCACTCCCTATCACTAGTTCAGGTGCCGATGCAACCCAATCTTGAAGCAAGATTTTGCATTTCGAGGGTGAGAACCGCATCCCGAACATGCTTGCATTGTTGCTTAGGGTAGTCAGAAGACTCTGCATTTTGTCGGCGTCTTGACCAAGTAGAACCATGTCATCGGCATATTCTAGGTCAATAAGCGAGCCACCTGGTAGAAGGTCTACTCCTGAAAATTCAGACGAGGATAATGTCAAATGTAGGAGCATGTCTATGATAAAATTAAACATGAATGGAGAGAGTGGAAAGTCTTGGCGGACACCACTTGAAGTAAAGAATTCTGATGACAGTTCGCTATAAGCTCTCTCCCGACACGTAGTTTTAGAGTAGAGAGCTTTATAAGGTTAATGTTCTTCTTTGATACATCTTTCAATGACAGACACTGCCACAGGACCTCACGATCCACTGAGTCAAATGGCGCTTTTAGGTTCAGGAAAACAACTTCTGTAGGACGCCTAAATGTGTGTCTGTGCTCCACGACCTGTTGTAGTGTGAACATGTAGTCTATACAACCACGTCCAGGTCTGAAACCAGACTGGTTTTCTCGAGTCTGCTATTCACGAACTCTACTTAGGTTGAGAATGGATAATAAGACCATCCTTTTCCGAGATAGTCTCACTTACACTAGGATTTTTAATATCAGTTTCCTTGATAAGTCGGAAAAGTTGTCTACTGTTGCCTATCGCCGCTACCTTTTCCATTGCCTTTGCTTTCGCCACCCACCACTGTTCACGGTCGTTGCGCTTTTATCAGCCTGTACCTAAGCTTACTTCGTTCTTTATCATGTTCAGAGCCAGGTGGGATGAGTTTTCGGGCGTCCATCAGTTCGGTGGATGCTACTGAGATCCACGGCTTCATCCTAGCCTTATGGTTAACCTTACTAGCAGATGTCACTGCTGTTTCCACTGCCTTTTTGATATCATTCCAACCTGAATTCGGATGGGAATCGCTTACATGATTGCCTAACATGTAAGGATAACTGTCCCTTTTCAACGTTCAATAATCTTGCAATAAATAGAATTTTCGTTTTTATTTATTGGACAAGTGCTGTATCTAAAGCATAGTTTTCACTGAAGATTTTATTTTAGCTACCTACAATTACTCATATATGTCTCTTATAAACTCACTACTGTTAAATTAAATGTTAATTCTTAGAACGAAAACGTCCGTGAGAGTTATGCTTTTATGTGCAACTCTCGTTCACTAGATGCTATCTTCTGCTGTGTTTTGAATTTTAGGCAAATTTTAGTAGGCCTTGTCTTGAATCCGACTAATCCTCCAAAGGTGATCATCCCAAGTACAAAGTTTTTAACAATTTGGAATTTTTCATTTTCTTGGCTTTACAAGTGTTGATAGACCAAAAGCAGTTAGGTTTGAAAAAAATATCTCAATCAAATCGTTGTAAACGATTCAATACGAGGATTGCGGAATATCAGCAAACAACACAGTAAAACTAGGTACCATTATGCAAACATGTCTCGGCAAATTAAATTACCCTTCCAAAAAGTGTTTTGTTCAGTAGGGCCTATTGTTTTCCTATAAAATATTCAATTGTGACTGGAAACATTTTTAGTGAACAAAACATCTGATTACTAAGAGTTCCCTATTTCGATGAAATCTTTTTCTCTCCTGAGAAACTCTATCTGTTCCTTCTTACCATAAACAATGTTAATTTTCAATAATTCTATTATATGTCGTCTTTGTCAGTTTTTATTTTTGGGAATGAGAGAGCACCAAACATCCGCTTCGTTTGAATATGATACAACTCAACCGTGAGCACCATCCATGTCATTAAGGGTCGAAGTTAGGGCCTTCAGGTTTAGAACTTCTTAGAACTATAAGCAATCACTGAGATAGTTTATACTGGGTCGAGAAATATTTCAGGTTTCATATTCGATTAATCCTTCAGTCCAACAATCTGACATATCCTCGGTTTGGTTCCTGTCACGGCCATTAATAATCAGTGATATGGCGTACCATACTAGGATGAAATGACTATCAAGTGCTTCCCAGTGTTCAATGGTACTCGAAATGAGATTAGTCCGACGAATTTTATCGTTTAGTATTACTTCTTTCATTATTTTCCTTTATTTTTACAGCTTGATGAATACAAAAATGAGTCTATATATCTAGTTAGTTTTGGTGTTGGTTCACTACTTATGTTATTATCTGCTATACACATACTTTCATTGAATAATTCTCGTTCAGATAATAATCATTCTAATCGAGCAAGTGTAAATGGGATTATTTGTATTGGTTTACCATTAATTGGTTTAAGAGGTAAACGAGGTGAATTGAATGATCCACTCTTATCAATACCAGCCTTACCAATATTATTTATTATAGGCGCTAAAAGTCGATTTGGTGGTCATAAAGAAGCGATAGAATTTCGAAAGAAATTATTCAGTGCTAGACGACGACAACGTCAAATAATTTCTCAGAATAATAATAATGACAGTAACCCTCTCATTCATCGATTTAAAATTAACGAATCATGTACTGTTGTCGATGATGATAATGATGATTTGAATTCAATTTCACCAACTTTTGATTTATTACTTATTGGAGACGCTGATCATTTACTTCGAATGCAACCATCTGCATGTAAACGTTGGTGTACAACACAAGGCAGAGTAGATATTAGAATAATAGTAAGTTGAATTAGTCCTAACTGAAAGCAATGTATATATATATATATATATATATATATATATATATATATAGTTGCTTGTTCTTAATTCTTTTGTTGAATTTTGTTTAGTATTATAGTATCTTTTTAGTTTGTTAGTGAAATAAGACATTGGCTGCAGCTAAGACGAAGTAAAAGATGAGTTTAACAGGAACCTTTGTAACCCTCTTTAAAAAGTTAAGCGCTTCGATATAGTAATAATGGCTGATGACTTTAATGACCAAGTAGGTAGAGTAAGTGTAAAGCGAAGGCACCTGGGTGGATTTTAAGGCTCTCACAACTGTCTGCTGCAGCTATGCACAAATAGTTGCCTATTTCTGGCAAGTACTAACTTCAAGCATGAGGGAAAACATCTTTTGACACGGCGACCCTCGAAGCCGTCTGAACACTGGATCCAGATAGATCACACCGCTATCAGTCATCGGTGGACAGGCTCTTATGAAGACTGCCGCTCATTCTAGAGCACTTGTTTAGATTCAGACCATGCTCCAGTGCGAGCGCGTATTTGTTTTGGATTTACTGGAAGTAGGGAAGACACGAAAAGTAAACTTCTTACGGTTCTGCTTAAGGATAGCACGGCTAAGGATATGTGTCACGAACAACTAGAAAAACAGTTAGGTGGCCATGTAAGTGATTACCACCCCGAGGCAGCTTGGAATGATATCCAAATAGCTGTGGAAACAGCAATGATATCTGCTAGTCAGGTAAACCATAAGTCTAGAAAGAAGCCGTGGATCTCAGTAGCATCTGCTGAACTGATAGATGCTCATAAACTCAATCCAACCTGGCTCTGAGTAGGACGAGGAGCGGAGCTGATAAAAAGCGTACGCGATGATCGCCAACAGTGATGGGTAGCGAAAGCCGGAGAGATGGAAAAGGCAGCGGCGATTAGCTACGGTAGGCAACTATTCAGAATCGTCAAGGAAACCGATACTAGGAACCCGAATGTGAGTAAGACTATTTCGGAAAAGGATGGTCTTATTATTCATTCATTCTCAATCCAGGGGATTCGATCTATGGGTAGAACATTTTAAGGATCAGTTCAACTGGCCTTCGGCAAATCAATGTAAGTTTTACCAGTCTTTATGCATTTGAGAAAGCTATAGGGAAATCTGAAGGGCGGGACGGCAGCAGGGCTTAATAGGCTTGCCCCTGAGATTTTTAAGGATTGTAGTCCAGTTTTAGCAGTTAGATTGACTGGTAGCCTAGGTAGAATTTGAGAACTGGGCGTAATCCCATCCAACTGGTCTGAAACCATTATATTCCCAATTTATAACAATGGACAAAAGTCCTCTTGTGACAATCAGATAGGGATCAGTCTAACTAATATACTGTTTAGAATGTTAGCCTCGATAAAACTTCGCCGCTTAACAAGAGCTTGTGAAGAGCAAACTGGAGAAAACCAGGCTGGTTTCCAACCTGGATGTGTCTGTATTTACCACATATTCACTCCGCGACAAGTCTTAGAACGCAGTCTCACATTTCAGTGTAGTCTTCCTGGACTTTAAAGCTACATTTGATTATGTTAATCGTGAGAATTTGTGGCTGTGTTTGTCATTCAAGGGAGTACCAAGGAAGTACCTTAAACTTATACAAGCTCTCAACTCGAATACTACAGGTCGAGTTAGAGCTTATGGTGAGCAGTGTTCGTCAGGGTTGTCCATATTCTCCATTGTTGTTTAAGTTTGTTATTGACATGCTTTCAGAGGTGATAGTCATCGTCTGACTTTTCAGGGGTGGATTTTCCAACGGGAGATTCACATGTTGAGTTAGGTTATGCCGATGACATAGTTGTACTTGGTGAAATCACTGATAAAATGCAGTCTTCTGACTACCCCAAGCAATGATGCAAGCATCTTTGAGATGCGATTCTACCGTCGAAATGCAAAAGCTTACGATCAACATTGTCAAATGCTGCTTTAAGGTCTGGGAAGACAACTATTGTCGGACGGTATATGTGTATACGTTTTCCAGGACCTGTCTTAGTGTGAATATGTGGTCCATACATTTACGTCCAGGTTGGAAACCAACCTTGTTTTCTCTAGTTCGCTCTTTACAAAGTAGTCGAAGTATTATCGTGGCTAATAATTTAGACACTATATTAGTTAGACTGATTCCTTTGTGATTGTCACTAGAGGACTTCTGTACTTTCTTATAGATTAGTACAATCAGTGATTCAGAGCAATGGGATGGGATTGCTTCCAGTTCCGTGAGACGGGAAACCGTGAAGTTAGGTGAGTGTGACATTCTTAGTGTTGACCTTTTCTAACCCCTCACTTCCTCTCTTGTGAGTAGGCAGCATCGCTTTAGATGCTGTATGTCTGAGGTACACACCTGCTGCCGTCACACCTCTTTATAGTCAGCAGTATGATTTGCCCCTCAGACCTTGAATTGCTGCTTTTAGTCTTACCGTTTTCCAGTCGACCTGACTGTCGCGGTAAAACCTAAAGGTACATATATCCTAGCCAATATAGCTCGGTTGGATTATCATGAGTGACAAGCCCGACCATCACGTCAAGGTGGCTGCTACGTTCGTGTCTAAATGTAGTTTATACATTTGGCTTCGAAGACAGTGTTAGAGCTAATGATATGCGTCTGTACGAATTAGATATGGGTTTTGAACAAGTCACCTGTTGGTTAAATCACGATTGCTTTGATCTCAACTAACTCTTATTTCCTAATTAGTAACCCGACCGTAGCTACTACCTAGACGTTGTGGTTGGGCTTGCCTATTGTGATGACCCAACCGAGCTATACTGGCTGAAACATATTTTCCTGAAGGTTCTACCGTGCCAGGCTGGTCGATTGGAGAACGATGAGACTAAAAGCAGCTACCCAAGGTCTGAGGGCGAATTCGTACTGCTGACTGCAGAGGGGTGTGACAGCAGTAAGGTGTTTCCCTCGGAAAACCAGCATCTGCAGCGATGCTGCCTTCTCACAAGGAAGGTTTAGAAAAGGTCGGCCCTAAAAATGTCACACCTCGCCTAACTCACGGATTTCCGTCTCCTTGGGTAAGGGTGCCCACTAAGGGCTTTTAAGAGTGGAGCTAATACTCAAAAAACCTTTCATAAAAATGCCGTGCGTGACCGGCCTCAAGCAGTTGTCCCCTGGGCTTTGGGGTTAAGCAGCCAGGTCTCTAAGACCAACGCTAATATACCTTCCTTTTCAGGTCCCTCAAGAAACAACCTTCCACGGTGTGTGCAGCCGGGAAGTGACAACCGCCCTCATACCCGTAACAGCACGAGAGACCAAATTAGTCAAAATGAAATCCTTCCTACAGCCCCTGATATCTCTTTAATCTCTACGACTAACTCTAGTCACATTTATTCAGCTCACTGCACCGCTAATGCAAACGATGCGAGATCACGAAACGTCGTTCCTGGACCTAAAGGCGGCATTCGACTCAGTGGATCGTGAGGTTCTGTGGCAGTGTCTGTCATTGAAAGGTGTACCAGAGAAGAACATTAACCTTATACAAGCTCTCTACTCGAACACCACTGGTCGAGTGAGAGCTTATGGCGAACTGTCACCGGAATTCTTTACTTCAAGTGGTTTCCGTCAAGACTTTCCACTCTCTCCATTCATGTTTAATTTTATCATAGACATGCTCCTAGAAATAACCTTATCCTCGTCTGAATTTTCAGGAGTGGATCTTCTAACTGGAGATTCTCATGTTGAGTTAGGATATGCCGATGACATAGTTCTACTTGGTGAAGACGCTGATAAAATGCAGAGTCTTCTGACTACCCTAAGCAACAATGCAAGCATGTTAGGGATGCGGTTCTCACCCTCGAAATACAAAATGTTGCTTCAAGATTGGGTTTCATCGGCACGTGAACAAGTGATTTGGTGACTTACCAGTGATGATAATTTGATATGTGAAAAAACCTCAACACAGATAAAGAGGAATTGACTTACTTTTGTCAACATGCGTCACTCATGGCATAGATGAGATATCCGTCTGTACCTGGACTAGTGATAAGTAGTGAAGTAGTTGAGTGTGTAGGAGTAGACTGGAAGAAAGCTAGGGGGGGGCCAAACCAAAACATGGCACAAATCCATGAAGTCACTGACTAGTGGACTGAGCCATGTTGGTAGGTGTAGACTACCTGGTTAGGGTCCACGAGACGATAGTAACTGATGGTTAGAGACCTTGAATGACATAGCTGAAAATCGTTTGCAATGGTGCAGGTGCATCCAATCTTTGTGTTCTCCCTAATTCTAACCTGAATTCCTCATACTCTCTATCTTTCTCTTTAAAAATTTATCTTACTGAATTACACTTTTCGAATCATATCTTTGCTCCCTAATCTCTTCATTGCTGCTAAAAATTCTACTATCTCTATCACTCTTGGATTTGAACTGACAGTTTCGTCTCTGTGCTGACGTGGTATGGCATCCTGAACTGATGTACTTATGTACGAAGTTCTGCGTTGTATGTGTCTGTCTGTGTCCCAATTAGTAATTTAGCGTTAGACCTGCATGAATCGTGAATTTTATATTACGTGCAGTGTGAGGGGTTGTAACGAAATCAGCTCGTAAAGTTGTATCAAATTACCGGGTAGTCAATTCTCTATCTTTCTAATTTACTCGGTTAAAATACCACAGCAACACGCCAAACAGCCGTTTCTCCCATAAGCGTCTGTTTGTAGGTCGTCAGCCCAGCAGTTTTCAAGTATCCGTGCAGTGCTTCCTGCCGCCTCAGATTATACCACGATGATGTGATTGCAGCGCATCTCACTTGTTCCCTAGTAGTTGAAACCATTGGGAGTCAATCGAAGGGGAAGAATGAAGATGACTATTTTATCCTAAGACTGAACTTTCTTACTCTACCTACTGCGATGAAAAATCTGTCCATTATTCTCTGGTTTTCATTAGTCATACCTAACTAAAGTTATTCTCTATTGTGAGTTATCTACACACAAACTTATTACTAACGTATTTGTTTATTTTCAGAATGCCATCAAAAACTTTATTCGGAAAACTAAAATACAATCCTCTGAAAAGTTACCAGTGGACTTTATGTTATCCCCATTAAATACTGGCAGTAACAGGCGACCACAATTTTCTATGACAACGACAACAACACGTCCATAAACAATGACCCAGACTTTTGTTTTTATGTTACACTGGAAAAAAAACAATTCCCCAAATTCTTTTAGATGGAATGGAAATAATATACAGCCATATACAAAGTTCCACATCGTTTTAATTAATATTGAGATGACCAAACATGTCATCGTACATATTTTCAAATAAAACCTGAAATAGATTGGATTTAGGTGAAATAAGGAAGTATCTAAAATGATTCTCATTTGAATGAGAGTTAAACATCGGTAAGCTTAATGCTGGTATGTTTGCATTTGAGTTATTCAGATTGTAAAGTAGTAGTTGTAAATATATGCTATTACCTGTTAGTTTTTCATTCTTCATTGTTACTGAATAACGTTCATGAGATTGTATGGATTCATGCATCATGCTGTGGATTTAGTTGTTCGGGAAGATTAATAATGAGTCTGCGGAAACATGCGTAACCCACTTAGATGATATTGAAGTTGCGTTCTCTGAAGTGTGTTCTGATTGTAAAACGAAACCTCAGATTATTAATATTATGCGCGCAAATATATCTTTACATATACCATGCTTATCGGTATGGTTTATTGACCGACAGTCTTAGGCCAATATTCAAGCGATCAAACATGATATAACACAATCCATATCCCTGGTATCAACTACTACTACTTGTTTGACGTAAGTTAGTGAGCCTACACTAAAAAAATTGTCTAAAACAAGCAGTTTTAGGTACAGGCTGATAAAAGCGCAATGACCGTGAACAGTGGTGGGTGGCGAAAGCAAAGGCAATGGAAAAGGTAGCGGCTATAGGCAACAGTAGACAACTTTTCCGACTTATCAAGGAAACTGATATTAAGAATCCTAGTGTAAGTGAGACTATCTCGGAAAAGGATGGTCTTATTATCCATTCTCAACATAAGTAGAGTTCGTGAATAGCAGACTCGAGAAAACCAGTCTGGTTTCAGACCTGGACGTGGTTGTATAGACTACACGTTCACACTACAACAGGTCGCGGAACACAGACACACATTTAGGCGTCCTACAGAAGTTGTTTTCCTGAACCTAAAAGCGCCATTTGACTCAGTGGATCGTGAGGTTTTGTGGCAGTGTCTGTCATTGAAAGGTGTACCAGAGAAGAACATTAACCTTATAAAGCTCTCTACTCGAACACCACTGGTCGAGTGAGAGCTTATGGCGAACTGTCACCGGACTTCTTCACTTCAAGTTGTTTCCGTCAAGACTTTCCACTCTCTCCATTCATGTTTAATTTTATCATAGACATGCTCCTAGACATAACATTATCCTCGTCTGAATTTTCAGGAGTGGATCTTCTAACTGGAGATTCTTATGGCGCAGGCAAGATATCCGTTTGCTAACCAAAGGACGAGTGTACTGTGCAGCAGTTCGCTCCGTCTTACTGTACGGATGCGAGACTTGGCCGTTAAGAGTAGGAAATGAGTACTAGTTAAGGATGGCAGATCAATAGATGAAGTAATGAAACTTCATCAGTTGAGGTGGTTGGGACATGTGTTACGTATGGCTAACCACCGACTGCCTCGATGAGCTGTGTTTTGTGGTGTAGGAGTAGGTTGGAAGAAAGCTAGGTGCGGCCAGACCAAAACATAGCAGAAATCCATGAAGTCACTGACAGGTGGACTGAGTCATGTTGGTAGATGTAGGCTACGTGGTTGGGGTCCGCGAGACGAAAGTCACTAATGGTTAGAGACCTTGCAAGTTCTACCACGCCAGGCAACTCCGCCTGTAGACTTTTTGGGGCTGCTGCTGGTTTCAAACCCGAATAAAGGAGGAGGGTTGAGATGTGGGTTGGTGACCTCATCCCGGAAAACGCTAACAACACGAAGTAATTCAAACCATATAAACCATGCTCCTCTGGGAGTTTGAAGGTCCTAATTAAGAAGAATTATGACACCTCATGATGAAAGCTGAGTTCCTTCGGAAGTCATGAGGCCGATTACCCCTTCTGACAACCAGAACCTTTCCACGGTGTTGGCAGCCAGGAAGCAACATTTTCCCTCTTACCCATAAAAGCATGCGAGACCATATTGGTCACAATCAAATCCTTTCTACACCTCTCAATAACTCTTATCTCTCCGACCAACTCTTCCTTCGTTCTTTTATCGTCTCGCGCAGCTGAAGCAAACAGTTTGAGCCCACGAAACATTATTGGTGGTCTTCTGAGACCCCGTACTAAATTACATATTGGAGCTTTTAATGTTCGGACCTTGTGGAAAGTAGGGCGACAGGCTACATTAGCTAGAACTCGAATCCCGGGCAATCGATTTATGTTGCGTCTCCAAAACGCGCATACAAGATCCGAGTAAAACCATCAGTTTGATATCACCTAGTACAGATAGAGACACAACAAGGTTTACACTCCGTGTTTCTGGAAGCTCTGATACCGCTCCTCGTGGCCTGGCCGGCGTAGGTATAGTATTAAGTCGTAAGGCAGAACTAGCTCTCCTAGACCGGATCCCGGTAGACAGTCGCTTATGGACTGTCTGACTAGACGGGAAGGTATGGACTCATAAAAATGGGAAAATTCGCCGTTGCCTCTTCGTTGTATCTGCAAACGTTCCCACTGACTGCAGTTCAGACGAGATAAAAGATGAATTTTACAGAAACGTCTCTAACCTAATTCAAAAAGTTAGGCGCTCTAATATAGTAATAATGGCTGCTCAAATAGATAGACTGAGGGAAAAGGAAAGATACCTGGGTGGATCTTATGGTGTCGCGGCTAACAGAACAGATAATAGCGACCGTCTGTTGCAGCTCTGCTCAAATGACCTCCTGATTTTCTCAATGTATAAGAAAGGACAAAAGTTTTCTTGTGACAATCATAGTGGAATCAGTCTTGGTCATCCAGGGGTTAAACGAATGAAGTCCATAACCAGGAGTTATGCATACTGGCCTCTCATGGATCACAGAGTTGGTGGAAAAATGCATGCGCTGTCAGCAAGCAGCAAAGATGAACGCCAGAGTTCCACGCGGATACAGAAAGCTCGATTTGCTTTTGCCAATTTACGTCGTTTATGGTGTAGGCGAGATATCCGTTCGATAACCAAAGGACGGGTGTACTGCGCAGCAGTTCGCTCCGTTCTCCTATATGGATGCGAAACATGGCCGTTAAGAGTAGATGTTCGTAGGTTACTAGTATTCGATCATAGATGTTTAAGAAGCATTGCTCGTATATCGTGGGACAACCGAGTAAGCAATGCTGTTGTTAGGAAACGAGTACTAGTTAAGGATGGCAGATCAATAGATGAAGTAATGAAACTTCATCAGTTGAGGTGGTTGGGACATGTGTTACGTATGGCTAACCACCGACTGCCTCGATGAGCTGTGTTTTGTGGTGTAGGAGTAGGTTGGAAGAAAGCTAGGTGCGGCCAGACCAAAACATAGCAGAAATCCATGAAGTCACTGACAGGTGGACTGAGTCATGTTGGTAGATGTAGGCTACGTGGTTGGGGTCCGCGAGACGAAAGTCACTAATGGTTAGAGACCTTGAATGACATGGCTCAGAATCGTTTGCAATGGTGCAAGTGCATCCATTCATTGTGCTCTCTCAAACCCTAATCTTCTGGATTCGTCAGCACCCTTACCTTTGTCTTTCTAACCTTATCTCACTGAATTATACTTCTTGAATAATATCTTCGAACCCTAATCTTCTCCATTGCTGCTAATAATTCTACTATCTCTATCACTATGGGATTTGATTTGACATTAGCGTCTCTGTGTTAATGTGGTGTGGCAACCTGAACTTATGTACATACGTACGAAGTTTACGTTGCAACTGACTGACTGCCGGTTTCATGGCCCAAACCTGATCATCCTTGGTCCAGGATACATGTCGACTTCGCTGTTACAATTAATGGGACTATGTATGTAATTGTGGTTGACGCCTTCTCAAAATAGCCAGAAATCAACCCCCTAATGCCGCACACGACAACTAAGACTATTGTCACTGAAATTTTCCCTCTAAATGGCATACCAGACGTGATCTTATCTGACAATGGCTCTCAGTTTACCTCTACCCGATTCCAGACTTTCTGTCAACGGCTAGCCACCAAACACTTACGCTCGCCATCATACTAACCGCAATCGAATGGGCAAGCGGAAAGGTTTGTGGATACGTTTAAAAGAGCATTGGTTAGGTCAAAAGGGGAGGAGGGGATGCCAGCCGATGCGTTACAAAGTTTCTTGTACGTCTATCAAACAACACCAAATGAGTTGTTACTGAAGCAAAAGTCTCCAGCGGAAATCCAGATGGGAAGAAGACTGAAAACGACCCACAACCTGATGCATCCGACTAATGCACCAACATCAGTAGAGAAAAGGTCGCAAAGACAATCTACGTACGAAGTGGAATGTCCTGTATTTGCCCGTGACTACAGAACAAACCATGGTCCTTGGGTAGAAGCGCGAGTGGTCAGAACAGTTGGACGAGTTATGTACGAAGTAAAGTTAGGAGGCTATAAATGGTCGCGCCATCGAATTCAGATACGCAAACGGCTAGCCCCAGATCGCCCACGAAGAGCAGCAAATCTTCGCCTTGACATCCTGCTTGATACCTTTAACCTACCGGCAGCCCCACCACGAGAAGAAACTCAGCAGCAAGCTGTTCTCCGTTCTAGTAGGTATCCTCTTAGACAGCGGCGGACAATAGTCAAGATGCAAGTCGACCCCAGGAGCACACGCTATTAAAAAGGAGAGGAGTGTTGGGAACGTTAGACCCCCAGAACTCGCTTGATAAATGCCTTAATTCTTAATTGCATGTTTGCGAGGATGGGCTGATCAGTTGGCCTTAAGATCTCATTTCCTACCAGGAAAATCCTCCGCTGTGATTGGTTGCTGTGTATTTTAGTATGCTATTTTTGTGACTGTCCCAAGGAAGTTTCTATGATGTATATTTAAACAAATGAAAACGTCAACATCTGGAAGGAAGCACGGTATCAACTGGACAGTTAGGACGCAGCTGGACGATCTGGGCTTCGCAGATGACCTGGCTCTTCTATCGCACACGCAACAACAAATGCAAGATAAGACGACCAGTGTAGCAGCAGTCTCTGCAGCAGTAGGTCTCAACATACATAAAGGAAAAAGCAAAATTCTCCGATGCAACACAACATACACCAACCAAATCACTCTTGATGGAGATGCCTTGGACGACGTTAACACCTTTACATATCTTGGCAGCATCATCGACTGTTCTAACGCTTGCTTAAATAATTCCCAGCTAGATCCTATTGCTTAGTATTCTCTGACCACAATACACTGGAGAAGTTCCGAAGAATGAAAAACACGGTGGAACAGGAAAAGATTATATTCCAAATAGCAAGGTTAAATGGAAATAAGAAGCCGAAGGCGAAATATATACAACATTAGATTTTCTATAGTATTTTCATGAGCAGCTTCTGAATAGTAATTCACGTGATCGACTGGATTAGATTTAGCCAATCAGCATGCAGCTAACAACACGGGAATTTTCTACCTTGTTCTCCAAGAATCGACCAGGCGCTGATTAGGTAGGAAATTAGCCAATCAGCGCGCAGCAGCGTAGTCATGCTTTAATTCCATCTATATCCCACTAACAATACTTCTACTATCTCTATTACTATGGGATTTGATTTGGCATTTGCGTCTCTGTGCTAATGTGGTATGGCAACCTGAACTTACGTATATACGTACGAAGTTCTACGTTGCAACTGACTGACTGGTAAAGTGTTGCCTGACTAATCAAACAAGAAATGTCCGCCACTACACTGTTGCTGCACACACACTTTGTGAAAATCTGCGAAATAATCTGAAAACTGTACTTATATTGTCCATTCAAGCTCTACATTATCCCCTCGATATATTCATTGACGATATGCAATCTAGTAATATTCGAAATGTCCCAACCATAGGTGAAATTATGCGAGCAGATTGTTTGGTCGAACTGAAAGTTCAAAATCAAGCTCCCCTTGTGAATTCATCAGCGACTGGTCCGTAGATAACGTGTGTTCAATCTCCTTAGCTGCTCTAAATGACCTACACGCAGTAGTTATAAATAAGTGATCAAGAACACTTTATTTTTTAATAGTACTGACGATTCGATTCCTTATAAAAAACAAACTCCATCTCATCTCTTTGCGGCATTAAGAAAAACTTTTGCACCTAAGCCATTGCCAACTGTTTTGAACCATGTCTTTCAAAGTCTCTAACTGTCGGTTACCATTGTTTCGCGTACCAAAACCAGGTAATCTAGCTTACTGTTGATTTGCCATTCTTACCTAGCACCCGTTTCCTAACATCAGCATTGCTTACTCCATAGTCCCAGGATATGCGAGCATGCAGTTATTTGAGAATAATATTGTTTTTATTATCATTAATGCTTCGGAGACACCTGTGTTCGAAAACCACCAACCTACGAATATCTTCTACTCTCACTGTCCATGTTTCACAGCCTTAAAGTAGGACGAAGCGAACTGCTGCACATTACACTCGTCCTTTGTCAGCAAACGGATATCTCGCCTGCTCCATAAGTGACGCAGGTTGGCAAAAGCCAATCGATTTTTTTGTACCCGTGCTTAGATTTCGTCAGTTACCAGGCCATCAGCACCGATGAGACTCCCCAGATACGTGAATTGGTCAACACGTTCGACTACTTCACTCCCTATCACTAGTTCAGATGCCGATGCAACTCAATCTTGAAGAAATATTTTGCACTTCGAGGGTGAGAACCGCACCCCGAACATGCTTGCATTGTTGCTTAGGGTAGTCAGAAGACTCTTCAATTTTTCAGTGTCTTCACCAAGTATGACTATGTAGTCGGCATATCCCAACTGAACAAGGGGATCTCGTGGAAGAATGTTCACTCCTGCAAAGTCTAACGACGGCAGTATTAACTCAATAAGCATGTCTATGACGAGGTTAACTAGGAACGACGAAATTGTACAAACCTGATGAACACCAATTAGGATTACTAACCCTAAAATCCTAAAGGGTTAACCAATTGAGCCCTCTGTTCCCACTCGCATCAAACTTCATATCGCCTTTTCATCTTTACTACATAAATTCGTCATTCAGGTTGGGTCTTAAAGTGCGGCTGATGTATAAACGGCTCCGTAAATTGTTCTGACCATTGATACGAACACCTAAATTGTTAAAGAAATTATTTATTATTAATTATGATCATATGGCTATCTATTTCAGAGACTCTCCCACTAAATGTCGTAGTTCTAATACAGCTTTCCTTTATAAGTCTCCTATAACCTGCTGCCGCTACATTTTTAGTCTCTCTTTATACGTCAAATACCCATTAATAATTCAATATCAACTGATTCGTAGATAACGTGTGTTCAGTCGCCTTAGCTGCTCTAAATGACCTACACGCAGTAGTTATAAATAAGTGATCAAGAACACTTTATTTTTTAATAGTACTGACGATTCGATTTCTTATAAAAAACAAACTCCATCTCTTCTCTTTGCGGCATTAAGAAAAACTTTTGCCTCATCATCTTTCTTACTAAGTATTAGATTAGTCTTAAAAGTAGTACAGTTCTCATAAAATAACCAGCACAGAGTAATTTGGTGGTAACAATGATAATAATTTGAGTGGTAATCCGTATAAAAGACAGCCAGTTGACCGAGTCACAAGAATACTAGCTCTTTATTCTAGAAAAACTTAACATCCTGATGTCCAAAGTCTTCAATGACTGATACTATTTATAGTAACTGGCAAAATAAAAATTCCATATGAATTCCATTAAATGTACATAGTTTGCGCCTGACTCGAAATATGATCGAATGTATATGTTATGCAGGTATATAATGACTTTTCCTCTCATAATTTCAGTCAGTATTTGAATCCTTTTTGAACAAGTCTAAAATTGTTTGGCTTGTTGGATTTCCGACAATAATTGTTCCCAATCGAAATTTCTATTCGGTAATTCAGTCGTGTTTTTCTGACTAAGTTGATCATCATATTGTGGACCAGCGCACCAGAGAGATTCTAAATCGTATTTTAGTCTTGTAGAAGGTAAAAATAAATGAAGGAAAGTTGTATCTAAAAAGAAAATGGAAAAAAATAAATCAGTTCGCAGTCATCATCACTGAGTTTACGAAGATACACAAAGTGATCTCCCGTAGTGTCAACTCCGTGCATTTAGGGTGTTATCGGCAGCGAAAGAAATCTGTCGGGCAAGGTGAGTTGTGCTTTTTTAAAAGCTAACCTTTCCTAAACCCTCCCGTCGTGCAAAAACACCATCACTGCAGATGGATTATACTTCTTAAATGGTAACTTCAAACCCTTATTTCTACGATTACTGCTAATACTTTCACCACTGCTACTATGGCATTCGAATTGACAATTGCGTCTCTGTGATTAGGTAATTTCCTATTGATATGTACTGACATGATATATGACAACTGGGACTGATAGAGATTTACTACAGGTGCTACGTTGTTTATGAAAGACTGACCTAACAGAAATGAAAGTTAGCGTTTAAATTGATTAAAATACTACTGATTACATGACATACTACCCCAGATGTATAATAAATTACATATTAGTGGATCGGTCCATTAAGCTTTTATAGACTCGTTAGTTACACTAAATAAGACTTAATCACCTTGGTTTCACTTACCCATATCAACGGCTATCCATTCGCACGACCCATCAATCCCACGTAACAGTGGAATTGGTATATCGGTATTTCTTAATTTATATTTTAGCTAGGATTGATATTTGATAGAAAAAAAGTTAACTTATAAATATAGTCACAATTACACAAGTAATATGGCGAAAAGTTTAACACTGCACGAAAACGAGTCTTGATAAGCAAGAAAAGTTGGTCCGATCATTCGGATCAATTTTCGAGGTCGCCACGGCAAGAGATTGCTACGTTCGTCACCAAGTATGCTTGAAACTATCACGGGTTCACCTTAGTTGATAAGCTAGATCGAGACAATGAACCAGCGTCCAAGTAGGCTACCCTAAAGAAAAGTCTTGATATAGCGTAGAAAGTATATTCTACAAACACTCAGCAAACACAATGCATTCATTCTCCCGACCGTAGCTGCTACCTTGACGTGGTGGTCGGGCTTGCCTGTCGGCATGACCCAACCGAGCTATACTGGCTGGAACATATGTTCCTGCAGGTCCTACCATGCCAGGCTGGTCGATTGGAGAACGATGAGACTAAAAGTAGCTACCCAAGGTCTGAGGGCGAATTCGTACTGCTGACTGCAGAGGGGTGTGACAACAGTAAGGTGTTTCCCTCGGACAACCAGCATCTGCAGCGATGCTGCCTTCTCACAAGGAAGGTTTAGAAAAGGTCGGCCCTAAAAATGTCACACCTCGCCTAACTCACGGATTTCCGTCTCCTTGGGTAAGGGTGCCCACTAAGGGCCTTTAAGAACGGAGCTAATCCTCAAAAAACGTTTCATAAAAAGGCCCTTGAACGACATGGCTCAAAATCGTTCGCAATGGCGCCGGTGCATTTATTCTTTGTGTTCTCTGAAATCCTAATCTTCTGTATTCTACAACACTTGTAGTTTTGACTTACTAAACTTTTCTCACTGAATCATACTTCTTGAATAACATCTTCTAATCCTAACCTTTCCGATTACTTCTAATACCCTTACTAACTCTTCTACTATTGGATTTGAATTGACAATTACATCTCTGTGCTGATGTGGTATGGCCACATGAACTGATGTACTTACGCACGAAGTTCTACGTTGCAACTGACTGACTATACAGCCACCTCCAGGTCGAAAACCAGCCTGGTTTTCTCTAGTCTCCTCTTCACGAGCTTTCGTTAAGCGTCGAAGTATTATTGAGGCCAATATTTTAGATACTATATTAGTTAGACTTATTCCCCTGTGATTGTCACAAGAAGACTTTTGTCCTTTCTTGTAGATAGGGACAATCAGTGATTGGGACCAGTCGGATGGCATTACGTCCAGTTCCCAGATTCTACCTAGGATCTCAGTCAACCTAGCTGCTAAAGCTGGACCACCATCCTTAAATATCTCAGGGGTCAGTCTATCAGGACCTGCAGCTCGTCCTCGTTTCAGATTTCCTAACGCTTTCTCAACGTCATTAAGACTAGGGGGACTTACGTCGATTTGCCATTCAGGATGACTGGAGATCGTGGGTAACCGAAGAGTGGCTCGTGGCCAGTTGAACTGATCCCTAAAGTGTTCTGCCCATCGATCCAGTCTCAGGGATTGAGAATAAATAATAGCCCCGTCATTTTCTGAGATAGTCTCACTTACACTAGGATTCCTAATACCAGTTTCCTTGATAAGTCGGAAAAGTTGTCTACGGTTGCCGATCGCCGCTGCCTTTTCCATCGCTTTTGCTTTCGCCACCCACCACTGTTCACGGTCGTTGCGCAGGCTTTTTATCAGCCTGCGCCTAAGTTGACTTTGTTCTTCATCATGTTCAGAGCCAGGTGGGATGAGTTTTCGGGCATCCATCAGATCGGTGGACGCTACTGAGATCCACGGCTTCATTCTAGCCTTATGGTCAACCTTACTAAGGGATTTCACTGCAGTTTCCACAGCCTTTTTGATATCATATCAAGCTGCTTTCGGATGGGAATCACTTACATGGTTTCTCAACTCTATTTCTAGTTGTTTCTGGAGTATTTTCTTAGCCTTATTATCATTAAGTAGAACTTTAAGAGGTTTCCTCGCGGTTTGTCCTACATCCAGTAAGCCTCAAAAAAGTACGCGCTCGCACTAGGGCATGATCTGAATCTAAACATGTGCCCCAGAACGAGCGACAGTCCTCTATCGAACCCCTCAATCGGTGGCTGATGGCGATATGATCTGGTTGGGTCCAACGATGAGACGACTTCGGGTGTCGCCAGGTCAAAAGATGTTTTTCCTTATGCATGAAGTTAGTTTTTGCCAGAAATAGGCGGTTGTCTGAGCAAAGTTGCAACAGACGGTCGCCATTTTCTGTTCTGTTAGCCGCGACACCGTAAGATCCACCAAGGTGTCTCTCCTGCTCACTTAGTCTACCTACTTGAGCATTAAAGTCACCAGCCATTAATACTATATCAGAGCACCTAGCTTTTTGGAGGAGGTCCGAAAGCTTTCTGTAAAACTCATATTTCACCTCATCTGAACTGCAGTCTGTGGAGGCATATGCAGATACAACGAAGAGGCAACGACGGGTACCCCTATCTTTCCGAGTCGTTACTGTCCCGTTCAGTCGGACAGCGCACAGGGATCCAGTCTAGGAGGGATAGTTCTGCTATACCTACACCAGCGAGAGAAATCTGTCGGACAAGGTGAGTTGTGCTTTTTTAAAAGCTAACCTTTCCTAAACCCTCCCGTCGTGCAAAAGCACCATCACTGCAGATGTTGAGTATCCAAGAAAAATATAGCCTTCATTTTTCAGTAAAGCTAGCAGTATGACTTAGTTGTTGGACGAAATCTCAGCACTGCTGTTCTATCCGTCCTACCTTATGGCTGCGGAACATGGCCCGTCAGAGTTGAGGATATTCGTAGGTTACTGGTCTCCGAAGCATTGCAACAACCGAGTAAGCAACGCTGTTGTTAGGAAATGGGTACTAGGTAAAGACGGCAGATAAATAGATGAACTATTGATACTTCATCAGTTGAGGTTGTTGGGACATCTGTTACGAATGCCTAATCACCGACTGCCTCGACGACCCGTGTCTTGTGATGTAGGAATAGGTTGGAACAAAGTTAGGGGCGACCAAATCAAAACATGGGGAAGATCCAGGACGTCACTGACAAGTGAACTGAGCCATGTTTACAGGTGGCTACCTGGTTAGGGTGCGTGAGACGATACTAACCGGTGGTTAGAGACCATGGACGACATTGCTCAATACCGTTGGCACCTGCGCAGATGCATTCATTCTTTGTGTTGTCTGAAATTCTAATCTTCTGAGTTTCTCATCACCTCCATCTTCCTCTAAGTTTATTTCACCGGATTATACTTCCTAAATGGTAACTTCAAACCCTTATTTCTACGATTACTGCTAATACTTTTACCACTGCTACTATGGCATTCGAATTGACAATTGCGTCTCTGTGATAATGTGGTGTGGCAACTTGAACTGATGCACATATCTACAAAGTTCTACTGACTGAATTTGGTCTCGTGCTCTGTTACGGCTATGGGGGCAGATGTCATTTCCCCACTGCCCAAACTATGGAAGGATGCTTCTTGAACTCGAAGAGGAGACGAGAATGGCGTTGGTCATATCGAGTTAGCAGCATGACCGCAGAGACCATGGGACAACTGCATGTGGTCGACCACGCACGGCCTTTACATGAGGTGTTTATGTTAGCTTCACTCTTCAAGTGGCCTTACCGCTGGAGACCGAAGGCTGTGAGGTGAGGTGTGATATTTATAGGGTCGAACTTTCATAATCGTTTATTTTCTTGTAAGAAGGCAGCATCGCTGCAGGTGCTGGTTGTCCAAAGGAAACATCTTACTCCTGTCACACCCCTCTACAGTCAGCAGTACGACTTCGCCCTCACCTTGAGTTGCTGGTTTTTAGTTTTACCGTTTTCAAATCGACCCGGAGATGTACCTACGTACGACGTTCTACGTTGTAGCTGACTGACTGATAAGCGAGAAATGTAAACTTTAATTATTCACTACCTAAGTGAATTTAAATGAATAAGCATAGCTAAGGTACTTATACGAACTTTAGAGCTAGAGTACACCTATTTTGTGGGACCCTTCAATCTTAGCTAGTGAAATTCATCTGCGATATATTTTGAACACTAAAAGCCATGATACGCATTTTGAAGCCGTTTTCAGATGGTTATGGCTGATGTTTCGTAAAACCTGGTTGCATATGAAGAAAATGAAGGGTTGATAGAAGCAATAAATTTAGGAAAAGGAAGAGAGGATTCACTAGATAACTCAAAAGCTTTTAGTGCTGTGTGAGTGACGCTTAATAACTACTTACACGGAGAACAATTTTTTGGAAAGCTTAAAAAATAAACGGTATCAGAATAAACTATCATACAAATTGAAAGTAAACGCACATTGTTGTACCGATGGAAATATACTTTTTTTCTTAGAAAGATAGTACTATACTGAGGTATGAGTGCCTATTACAAGATTAACGACACATTCGCAAATAGAATGTTCTTCCCTCATATGACCATATTACTGAGAATTTACGACAGTTAAGATCGATAACTTAGTAGGAGTGATAGCTCAAAGTCTGGATTTTTACTCTTATCCTGTCCAGTTTACGTGAAAATACATAAGAAGCAATAGTACTGAAACTCACCAGTTTGTGTATATGAACAGCCGTGTTCTGGATGTGTCTTTTAGATATGCCATTTCCAATAACTATGTAGGGAGCTAAGAAGCTACGATCCATATTTAGGCAAACAATGTCTCGGATATTTTCATGTTTTAATACTTCTACTAATTCTGGTATATTAAAAAGACCTAGTTAAGTACTGGGTTAAGAAGATCAATTTTTTAGTGCATACTTTTCATGCGTATACAAGATAAGTTTTCTTCAGGTATCGTTTCTGGAGATATATGAACCTGTTGAACAAATGGATTTACTTCCCAATGTTCATCATAGACTTCGAAAATGGTATTTTCATCTACATCATTACTAGTAGATTTCTGTTGAATAAATGAGCTTGGCTTGGTACAGTAGTAACCGGGACGGTAATTACCAAGTCTGTGGATAACTTTAGGGATCACAGATAACAAACTAGTACGTAATTTTCGCAATAACAACATTATCCGATAGTTGACACAGACTGCTTTCAAGTTTTCGAATTCCTCCCAGGATTTGTGGTAATAGAATACTATGAGCTGTCACTAAAAAAGTACATCGATCTGCAGATGGTAACTGTTATCGTACAATAATATTTTAATACTGGATGATGATATACATGTACAAACAGTCTGCCTTGAATGAATATCAAAAGAATTATCGCGGTTTATTGGCAAGCTGGGATCCAATGTTTTTTTCACGAGCCAGTATATACCAACTGATTTCTTCGCGCTCAATTCTTGTTTGTCCAGTACGGTATCAGGATGACCTAGAACTACAGCATATAAACGTTGAGGAAATACACCCAGAAAAGAGAACATGGAATGGTAGATTATAAGGTATAATAATGGGAACTGTGTTACGCGGCCCAATATTCAATATGGTTATCACGCGCTAGCACGTCCCGTGATTCGAATGAGTGCATTTGTTTCAGGGTTGAAGGGTTCCTGAAACCAGCAGCTGTGGAGTTACCAGGCCACGGATCAGTTAGTTGCGATGTGGAGAATAATAACAAGAAAATTCTGGTGACACCAGGATTTCAGAGCTAACCAAATAACTGGATAAATTAGGTAACTAGTCGATAGTGAATATCGAACGAGAAGATAGAAGTGTAAGCAAGGAGGAGGAAACAGATAATAAGCAGGATAGATTAAGTTAGTGATCGAAGGAAATCGAAGTAATAACCACTAGCAAGTTTGGAGACATGCATCAAGTACAGCCGGTCCAATAGTGAGATAATAATCCGCTTGAGTGTGTGTTTATCAAGTCTCTTCTTGAAGTTATCCACTGAGGGGGGGTTTTCACCTTGGTTGGGAGAGCATTCCAAGTTGCAAAAACTGTGAATGTACAAACCTGATTGTTTTATCTTTGATGTGCAATTTTTTAAGGATTAGTTCGAGTGAGGCGGTGGCGATGCTTCGGTAAGATGCTTACATTGTGATGATTTCGTGTGCCTAATATGTTGTACGCCATTATCAGATCACAGTTGATTCCCTTGTTACTGTAGAGAGTAATTCCAAGAGCTAGACTCTATCTTCTTACTGTTTGTTCTTTAATCCTACCACCTATTTCGTCGTTCATCTCTGCATACGATCCAAGGTATTTATGTCTTTGAGGAGAGGGATTTGATCGACATTATGATCTTCCTAAAAAGACCAGTAAGCTAGTTAAGAATAGGAGAAAAAGACTTTCCAATGCTCAGTCGACACAGTCCAACGTCCAGAAACAGCATAAGGATAACTGTTTCACGTGCTCATTACCAGTCAAAATCAGTGACCATGCTTTCGAATGCAACTTTTGTAGTACATGGGTACGTTATCACTACGACACTACAGTACCTAAAGAGTACTACGGATTCACGATGAGTCACCCCTGCCCGTTGTTCTGGTATATTTGCTCTCGGTGTAGAGTATCTGAGGCACTGACTAAGCCACAGGTCCCACCCAAAATCAGCCCTAAAGCCCAAACGACCAAACCAAAATCGCCTGGCACTAAACCGGTAAAACAAGTGACCAAGGCTACCACAACCCTGCCTAATACACCGACAACACTGCCGGTTGTTGTTAACCCCCCAGTATCTGTTAGCGATACAAAACTGTGGGTGAACGTGAAAAAGTGAAATAGCAACACCCCAACTCACAAGCGGCTACCCCAGCTCACAAGTGGGATAAACACTGCACAACCCTCGGAATGTGCAACGTCCCAGCCAAAACATGCGGCCTTTTCAATAGCCAAAATGTCTCGGAAGGGAAACCCCCTCCAATGAGGGTAACTCTTGACTCGACAGGACTTACTTACGCCTGTTACCCCCACTGGAGCATAGGCCGCCCACCAGTTTTCTCCAACCAACTCTGTCCTGGGCTTACCTCTCCAGTTCTGTCCAATGTTTATTCATTCCTCTCATATCTTTCTCTATTTCTCGGCGTAGTGTGTTCCTTGGCCTTCCTCTTTTCCTTTTGCCTTGAGGGTTCCATGTGAGGGCTTGTCTCGTGACGCAGTTAGGTGCTTTTCGTAGTGTGTGTCCTATCCACTTCCACCGCTTCTTCCTGATTTCCTCCTCCACTGGAATCTGGTTCGTTCTCTCCCACAGTTCGTTGTTGCTGATGGTGTCTGGCCAACGAATCCGAAGTATTTTGCGTAGACAGCTGTTAATAAACACTTGTATCTTGTGGATGATGGCTTTGGTAGTTCTCCATGTTTCCGCTCCATACAGTAGAACTGTCTTGACATTTGTATTGAAAATCCTGATTTTGGTTTTGTTTGAAAGTTGTTTGGAGTTCCAGATATTTTTCAACTGTAGAAATGCAGCCCTCGCTTTGCCAATCCGCGTCCTCACATCTGCGTCCGATCCACCTTTCTCGTCGATGATGCTGCCAAGATATGTGAAGGTGTTAACGTCCTCCAAGGTATCTCCATCAAGAGTGATTTGGTTGGTGCATGTTGTGTTGCATCAGAGGATTTCGCTTTTTCCTTTATGTATGTTGAGACCTACTGCTGCAGAGGCTGCTGCTACACTGGTCGTCTTCTCTTGCATTTGTTGTTGCGTGTGCGATAGAAGAGCCAGGTCATCTGTGAAGTCCAGATCGTCCAGCTGCGTCCTAACTGTCCAGTTGATACCGTGCTTCCTTCCAGATGTTGACGTTTTCATAATCCAGTCGATGACCAGGAGAAAGAGAAAGGGTGAGAGTAAGCAACCTTGCCTCACACCGGTCTTTACCTCGAAAGAGTCTGTTAGCTGTCCATCGTGTACGATTTTGCAGTTGAATCCATCATAAGAATTCCGTATGATGTTAACTATCTTCTCAGGCACACCGTAGTGTCGAAGAAGAGTCCACAGTGTTTTCCTGTCCACGCTATCGAATTCTTTCTCGTAGTCGATGAAGTTGATGTAGAGTGGTGAGTTCCATTCAATTGATTGTTCCACAATGATCCGTAATGTAGCAATTTGGTCAGTACACGATCGATCCTTACGAAATCCGGCCTGTTGATCTCGAAGTTGGGCGACTACGAAGTCTTCATTCTGTTTAACAATACCCTGTTGAAGGCTGCCTTGTATTGAAAGAAGAGTGATGCCTCTTTAGTTCTCACACTTGCTCAGATCGCCTCTCTTTGGTATTTTGATGAGGTATCCTTCTTTCCAATCTGATGGTACTTGTCCCTCATCCCAAATCTTCTTGAAGAGAATGTGAAATATTTTCGCAGTTGCTTCCACATCTGCTTTCATTGCCTCTGCTGGAATGTTGTCTGGTCCTGCTGCTTTGCCGCTCTTGATTTGTCTGATGGCCATACTGATCTCCTCAATCGTATGTGCGCCAATATTAATTGGGAGGTCCGTCGATGCTGCTTCGATGTTGGGTGGGTTCAGTGGAGCTGGTCGATTCAATAGTTCCTTAAAGTGCTCTACCCACCTATTTCGCAGTTCTTCAGTGTTGGTGATTACTTTGCCTTCCTTACTTTTCACTGGTCGTTCTGGTTTACGATAGTTTCCGGCAAGCTTCTTCGTTGTTTCGTACAATTGTCTCATGTTTCCTTCTCTTGCAGCCTTTTCCGCCGTCGTTGCTAGATCTTCCACATATTTTCGATTGTCAGCTCTGATGCTCTTCTTCACTTCCCTGTTTGCTTCTGTGTATGCAGTTTGTGCGGTAACTTTCTCCGCTCTTGTTCGGCTGACATTGATTGCTGCCTTCTTGTCCCTCCTTTCTTCAATTTTTGCGAGAGTACCAACAGAGATCCATTCCTTGTGATGGTACTTCTTGCGACCCAGAACCTCGTGACATGTTGAAGTGATTGCCTCCTTAATCCCTTTCCAATTGTTCTCCAATGTTGCGTCCTCTCCATTGAGTAGATCCTGAAAGGCCTGGAACCTATTGGTGAGGGCTATCTTGAATCCATTGAGTTTTACGGTATCCCGGAGAAAGGCCGTATTAAACTTCTGTGATGTTATCTGCCCCGTTGTCCAGTGCTTCTTTAGCTTCAGTTTCATTTTGGCGACCAGTAAATGGTAATCTGAAGCTATATCAGCTCTCTTGGTTCTCACATCCTCCATAGTCCTTCTGAACGTTTTGTTGATACAGATATGGTCAATTTGGTTTTGAGTAGTGTGGTCCGGTGAAATCCATGTGGCTTTGTGAATGCGTTTGTGCGGGAATATTGTGCCTCCGATGACCAGTTTGTTGAAGGCACATAGGTTTGCAAACCATTTTCGTTTTGCAGTTCCCCTGAAGCTAGTCTCAGTTTTCCTACTTGTGTCCAATGCGTTTCACTGATGCCGAGCACCTCGAGGTTGTATCTTTTCATTTCTGCCGCAACTTGAAATAGTCTTCCAGTCTCCCACAATGTAGGAACGTTCCATGTACCTAAAAAAAGTGGTTGCTCTGGTTGTCAGAAGAGGCATCAGCCCTGTGACTTCCGAGGGAACTCGACTTTCATCACGCGACGTCATAATTCTTCTTCCAACTGCCAGGGCAGAGTTAAAATGGTTAGAATTGTTTTTTCTGGTTAGCGTTTTTTGGCAAGTGAGATTTCAACGGAATGGGGTCGCCAACCCCATGTCCAACCCTCCTCCTTTACCCGGGCTTGGGGCCGGCAGTAGTTTCTAAGGTTCTACTGGCGGGGTTTCGACAGGACTTGCTAAAGGCATTATCCTTTCATCGCAAAGACCATCGTTCAAATTGTCTCCACCGATTCGCATCAGGCATGACAACCCGCGGTCGGTACGAGCGCACCCAAGAGCATATTATCATGGTAGTTCACGGTGTATCCGAACTCACTGGCGGTAACCTGGACGAAGCTCAGGAGCACGATGTGCAACAATGGCGTTGGCTATCGCGTAGCCCATCTATTCACACCAAGACGGCTATTTGCATTTCTAGGTTGCCTCGCCCGTCACACCTTACGTCCATCAAGCCACCACGTCTGATGACTGTGACATTTAGGAACCTGGAAGACCTGACTGAAGCACTCC